GTTTAAGTAAAGAAAGCAATATGTTTGATGTGTAGCAACTGTAGTGAAATTTATACTAGGATTTTGCATTGTGCTTTATATTCACATTATTTACATTAATAGTGTCTTAGTGTTGAAGTTTATAAGCTTATTATAGTTATTGTTTGAGGTTTGACAAGTATTCATTTTATAAATTTCAGGAAATGTCAAACGCGGTGACTTCACAGGCTAGCAGGTCCAACACTAAAAATGACATCGGGTGGAAATATTGTCATGCACCAAATGTGAGAGATACAAACACAGTTGTTTGTAATTATTGCGAGAAAATTATGAAGGGAGGAATAACAAGGGCCAAGAACCATTTGATGGGAAGAAAGGGAGATGTTGCAGCATGCAAAAAATGTCCGACGGAAGTCCGAGAAGAACTTTGGGCTTATGTGAAGGCAAAAGCAAATACCGGACCCGGTGATAGCAAGTATGTTTACGATAGTGATGATGACACTTCCTTACCACCTTCGAGAAAGAATGTTGCTGAGTTGAAAGGTCCGATGGATCTATTTTGCCGAAAGCCAGAGACTGCTATTAGCAAGAGGAAGAAAGAAAAGCTAAAACAAGTTAGCATAAGAGAGGCTTGTGACAGCAACGACTAGGGTCCATGAACTTATTGCTCGCTTTTGGTATCACGGCAACTTGTCATTCAATCTTGTCAAACATCCATGTTTCAAAGCTATGGTTGCTGGTACTGGTTCCTTTGGCCCACATTTGCGAACTCCGAGCCCCCACGAGATGAGAGTTCCACTCTTAAATAATGAAGTGGATTACACCAAGAACTTGATGAGTCATCATGAGGCGGAGTGGAAGAGGACCGGTTGCTCTATTATGTCTGATGCTTGGACAGATAGGAAGCAAAGATGCATCATTAATTTCTTGGTGAATTCGCAAGCGGGTACTATGTTTGTGAAGTCCGTGGATGCTTCCGACTTTGTGAAGACGGGACAAAAATTATTTGAACTTCTTGATTCTCTAGTGGAGGAGATTGGGGAGGAAAATGATGCATGGATTTAATGCTTGAAGACATCTTCCTTTGATTAGGAAAACCATCAAAAGTGGGATCTTCCTTGTGGGGTTTATATATGCCCACTCGAGTACCTTGAGTTTGTTGAGACATTTCACAAACAAAAGGGAATTGGTGAAACATGCCGCCACCCGATTTGCTACTTCATTCCTCTCTTTAGAAAGACTCCATCAAGAAAAGTCAAATCTTAGAAGGATGTTTACTTCTGAGGAGTGGAACAAGAACAAATTGTCGAAGGATGCCAAGGGAAGGGAAGCGATGAGAGTTGTGCTCCGGAAATTAACCTATGTTTTGAAAGAGGATGCAGAAAAAATCTTAGGAGTTATACAACAAATGTTTGGAAATTAACCTATGTTTTGAAAGAGGATGCAGAAAAATTGTAAAAAGAGAAGTAAGAGAGAGAATGAAGAGAGAAAAAAAATTAGGAGAGGGAGAAGTTATTGATTTAAAATTTAAATTAGTTATTTTGTGTAACTTCTACTAGAGTAATTTTGGAATTCAATACACTCTGCTGCTTTTGTAGAATTTTGTTTTAATAGGAGTCTAGTTATGTCTTTTGGCCCCAAAGCATCGATTCTTTAGACAATTATTAAATGAGGCCCAATAATGCAATAAAAGCCCAATAACCCTTTGTTTGTGTAGATCCTATATCGGATACACAAACAAAAAATATCAGCTATTTAAGTGGTTTTATTGCTGACACCGGTATAGTGGTCGGCTCCCAGTTCAACTGGTCGAACCGGCTGGTCCGGTCCTGTTTTCAAAACCTTGGTTTCTATACACATATGCATCATTTCAATATATAGCCCTGAGTTTATTAAAGAAAATCAATAACATATGTTATGACCAGTAACACACATAAGAATTAAGCTCAGTTTAAACTGTTATAAAGTTGTTATTATTTTTAAAAACATGTGTATTGTGTACATTTCAAATGAATGACTATTTATTTATGCCAAAAACATATTTTAGTACAAGTAAAACATAAATTAAAATATGTCTATTTAGTTAAACATAACATAATATCCATCAAAATGTAGACATCTCACAAATAAAATAATGAAATGGAAACATATGTAAGGAAATCAAACCTTATGAGGTCGATGATCAATGTTTGCCACCAGTTAGCTTCACAGAATTCTGTAAGCAAAAGATTATGATTCTGTAAGCAAAAGACTATGATCAATGGAGGCAAACAATGTTTGCCACCAGTTAGCTTCACATGATTCTATAAGATCTTAGAAAAAATATAAGACGAGGACATAAAAATTATCTCATATATTAAGCTTCTACTTAATTTCACTTGTTGTTATGATCTCACTTTAAAAATGTTTAATACATTTATACTCGCTGAAATTAACATATATATGTAAAACACTTACCTGTAAACAAAATTGTATTTTATGTTGTGCTATGTAATATTGCAGCTGATTGCACTTCATCAAAGTTCCTTTAGTATATATCCCTGATTCTCAGGCACAAAAATAAAAAATATGGTGAGAAGATATACAAATGTACTTACAGCTCACTAAAGTTAGCAATACGTGATTACGAAACTAAGCAAACCCGAAGGCTCACTTATAAAATTCCGCAACAGGTTTAGCATGTTTACACAGATGAATGATTCAGTTCTAACATTTTTTTTGTCAGAAAATTCATATAAAACTCTTTCAATCAAATATTTGTACAGATTCATATACGCATGTGCCTAATTTCTTTTTATTTTATTTTATTTTTTTTGGTAAAAGGTCAACTTAACAAAAATTGATATATCATCATGAAACAATAAAGATAAATTATAATTCTACTATTAAGCTAAAAAAACCATGACAGTAACAAAAATTTCGAAAAATAAAACATCATTTTGAAATTTTTTGAAATCTGACAATAGAAAAATATATATAAAAAATCTAAATTAAAAAATACATCATGTTATTTGATCAGAAATTTAAGAATCTATATTATCACAATTACAGACCAAACGGATGAAAGAAAAGATGCCATAATAGATCTACTATCAACATACACATACACATGTTCAACGATTTTTTCAGAAAATTGGAATGAAAACAAAAATCTGTCTTTTGTCAAAATTGAACAAAAAAAAAGCATAAACTTAAATCGAGAAGCCTAATTCGATATTACCTTTCCGCCTGGGGTAACAAAAAATGCCAATGTAAGGAACTTCCGTTTGTCCTCGGTGATCGAAGTACAACCGGAGAAAGATTTCGATTTTCACAATTGTTTGTGAAATAGAAACACATCTTTACATCTTCACAAAATTGGAAACACCATTTCAAACACAAAACAATAATTGAAGCTGAAAATTAGGAAATCACAATTAGGGTTTGTCGAGTTTCGGACAAAAATACAAAAAAGGGGAGAGAGAACTGAGGGGGCGAGTGAAATTGAGCTGGTGCGTTTTGTTACCAAGAAAAAAGGCCGCAACTAAAACTTATCATTTGGGCTGAATTGGTGTTCAATGGGCTAAAAAACAATTGTTCCAATTAATTAATCATTCACATTATTTTTGGTTAGTCAGCCCATTTATGTTTAATTTTTAAAGCCCAATTGCTCATATATTGGTCTTAACCTAATCTAATAAATTATATTAAATTACATTATATCATTATTACATTTATTGTTTTATATAATTAAAGTCCAAATATTATTTTATGTATCTATTATTAACTAGATTCAACAAACTTCCACATCTATTTTTCATGTGATAGTGGAATTTGACCTGCCTAAAACGTATTGTTAGATGGAACCCGATTTCGAAACCGATCCGTCCTTCACAAGGCTCAACAGATTTGTGGGAGCCCACTACTTACTCGCGTTCATAAATCAGGGAGACACAAGTTTTTTTTATTTTAATATTTCTGAAAAAAAATATGATTATAATATATTGATTGTTGCATTTTTTCATAATCCTATATTTCGCAATATAGGTTAGATAAAACTAAATATTTCATTTATTTAATTTAAAAATAGATGTTATATTCCAAACATATATTCAAAAAATACAAAAATATATTTATGGATAATTTATGAAAACGAGTACTGATTCTAATCGAATATATTTGATTATCGTAATCGATTAGAATACGAATTCCAAATTAAATCAATAACGAATCGAAGACGAATAGTCGAATATTTTCCCGAAATTAGAATTGAATAGTTGAGTATTCGTTTTAATTCGATTCGTTTACAACACTTACCCCAAATGCTACGGGTCAGGTCTAGGTCTTTTTGCCATTTCTTTCTTCTAATAATGATAATATTATTAAATATATAAAAGTGTTACTTCTAAAGAGTTAATTAATACAAAGTGTTATTACATTTTAGTAAAATGTTACAATAGTGAAATACATCAATACCTAAAAATTGTATAATGTCAAAAGTGGGTCCTAATCTTGGAAATGGTTTTGAACCAGTTTTGTTTTTTTTTTAAAGCAAATTGTTGGGCACACGTCGTACAAGCGGTGATAGACAGAGAGCGAGCGTGGAAGGAGCACACGTTTCCACGTCTGAGGTTTATTGGTTCTCTTGTCGATGATCTTCCGTGGGTAGGTCCCAAGGTCGTAGTACTTAGTATAAGCCAGCGGGCCCGTTATGTACCTTCAACAGTGGAATTGGTATTCCATTTGTACAATTTTTACATGACTCGCGGTATTCCTTTCCCTACGCGACTTTTGATGCTTCATCCGAATTTTCGAGGGGGAAGTGTGTTCTATGCATTGTTATATGCCTCTATCCATGGGGTCCGGGATGAACCGTATTTCCATAAGGTGGATTCCTTATGTGAGTATTAAATTTAATTTCTTGTTCTTCAATTCACGTTTTTATTTTAGAAGTCAAAATTTAATAATTAATACTTGTAAATATAGGGTTCCAGAGTGCGTGTAGGTTCGATCTTCTATATTCCCATAGAGGATACTGTACCTCGCAACAAAATCAATAACGGGTGTCCTTAACGCATCATTGGAGATGGCGCAGTTTTGGGACAATGTAAGTATTTAATTTTGTTTTTTTTTTTNGAAGTTAGATATGAATATCATATAGATGAGTAACATAGATTTTGTGAAAAAAAAAATTCTACGGGAGTTTGTGAAAGTAGATGGCCTATCGTCAATGCATGTTTCAGACTAAATGTGCTCGGATTTTTCCAAACCCAAAGTGGCCTCACTGCATCCCGTAGGTATTATGACACATATAGTTCCTCCCTTCCCTCATCCACTCCACACCCCACCAGGGTAATAGCATGTCGAAAACATGAATTGACGATGCTAGTACACTGCTGGGGTGTGGGGTGGATGAGGGAGGGAGGTACTATATGTGCCAGAATACCTACGGGGATGCGGTGGGGCCACTTTGGGTTTGGCGAAATCCAAGCACGTTTAGTCGGAAACATGCATAAACGATAGGTCATCTATCTTCACAAACTTCTGTTTGGAGAACTTTTTTTTTTTTACAAAATCTATGTTACTCATATCTATAATATTGATATTCATATTTAAGTTCCAACAAAAAAAAATTAAATACTTAATTTGTCCCAAAACCATGCCATCTCAAATGATGCGTTAAGGACGCCCGTTAGTGGTTTTGTTGCGAGGTACGCGTCAACCGTATCAGTATCCTCTATGGGAATATAGCGGAACGAACCTACACGCACTCTGACATCCTATATTTACAAGTATTAATATTAAATTTTGACTTATAAAATAAAAACATGAATTGAAGAACAAGAAATTAAAATTTAATACTCACATATAAAGAATCCACCGGATGGAAATACGGTTCAGCTCGGACCCATGGATAGAAGCATACAACAATGTATAGAACACACTTCCCCCTAGGAAATTCAAATGAATCATCAAAAGTCGCATAGAAAAGAAATACCGCGAGCCATGTAAAAGTTGTACAAATGGAATACTGATTCCACTACTGAAGGTACATAACGGGCCCGCTAGCTTATACTAGATACTAGGACCTCAAGACCTACCCACGGAAGATCACCGACAAGAGAACCAATAAACCTCTGGCGTGGAAACATGTGCTCCTTCCACGTTCGCTCTCCGTATATCACCGTCTGTACGACGTGTGCCCAACAATTTGCTTTAAAAAAACAAAAGTGGTTCAAAACCATCTCCAAGATTAGGAACCACTTTTGACATTATACAATTTTTAGATATTGATGTATTTCACTATTGTTACATTTTACGGCTGTGACCCTTGGGGTCAACTTGCCGTACACACTGGTCTGAAAGTCTTTCTGTCGCTGGTCTGCACGCGACTTTCGTCGGTTCAGGGTTGTCTTAGTTTTTGTATCTGTCGGTCTACTGTTGACCGAGAATCATTCTCTTGCCATCTTTTTCTTGTACGTCAGTGATCCACACTCGTGTCCGTACTACAACATACGGTGTCATGTCTATCATCTTCTATTAACTGCTTTAATGGCAAATCGTTCTACAAAACGCATATTTCTTTCAAAACGTCAGCCTTTAAGCGTTCTGATGATCTTTCCTGATTGTCCATCGATCTGTACTATGGATGAGGACAACTAGCAATTGCGGTTCAACTCACCGTGACCCGGCTCCTGACTACGCGACACGTTGCACGAGGTACGTTGCATGCGGTTTACCCACTACCTACCTAGGGCCCTCGGGCGTGAAACACCTGCATGTGATACCGGCGTGCGATGTACATGCGGCATCAGTGTCGCCTACAGTCACCAACACAGTCGTATCCATATCTTATCTAGTAGTATCACTGTACTGCGGCGCTGAGTTAACTCGGCGCACTAAGCCTCGGGCCTAAATTCTTTCTGGTACAACTTGACGGTCTCACAGTTTAAATGGGTAATATTTACCCAAAGGTACTAAAATCTCAAGGTTAAGGTTTCTCTGTCCTCTCTTTTTCTCAACGTTTGCTCTTTCTTATGCTAAGTCTCAGCTTGGTACTCAAACATGGTTTCCCGTGGCTGAGAAAATCTTCCACCTTACTTGCTTGAAATCTATCCCAAGTAATGTTCGAACTTATCGATTGTCTGACTCTTTACTATCCTCTCTCTAAACCCGATCTATTGCCAGTGATGTCAAATCACAACTAGTTCTTAGAGATGACTTCATCGATTCAACTTCTACTGGTCGAACTTTCGGTTAAGTCTTTCTGCTTCCTCTCTCGGAATTTCACAGCTCTGCCTCATCAAGGGACAAGGTAGGGCCATCTTTATAACTTTTTCGAAGAATCTTACGACTGCCATCATTGGGTTATCAAACTCCTTGACTTCCCATTGACGTGTCCGAACTTCGAGTTGATCTTGGAACGTTGAAGGGCTCATCAACTCTCGAAGGTGAGTACTTACTCTCCTCCTTGAGTCTACTGAGCTCCCGGTAATAGAGTATATCTTCCTTTCTTCATGAACCATCTGGCACACCTTACGGTGAGCTCTTGGTCCAATAATTAACAACTCGAATTTGGGTCTTTCAGCTCTCGTAGCTTCTTGGCGTCTCTCGGTTTGACGCTTTTCACACTGGTCCTACTCCAATACCAGGTCAATCGAATTCTTCCAGTTGGTCGGGTGGTCTTCTCGGTAACATTTTGATAATACGTACACATGATTGTGAACAATGGTTAACTCTCCTGGCGTTGCCAGTGAAGTGTTCTCCTTTCATTGCTTCTAGAATTTTCCTTATCGGCACCTGTACGCGTTAATTATAAGTCTTCGTCTTCCTAGACAGACTATCTTCAACTTTCCCTTGCGCGGGGTTGATTCTTCCTCTTGAATTATGGTTGTTGCGATCTCCCACTTGGCTTTTGTTGGGTCGTCTGGTGTTTGTTATGGTCTATCGGCTGGACATTCTTATACTATTGGAATCTTTCTTGAGTGATGGTTTCTTTTCGAGACGACGAGTAAGTCGCCGTGGTGTCAAACCATGATTTCACGTACGATCCTTGCTCTTGTTTCTCTTACTTAATCTATTTCTTCTTTGACTACTAGAGATCACCTCATACGGGAGCATGTCTGTTATGGTTCAGCTTCAAGTCTCCATGTGATATGGGATATTATATAATTGAGGAATGGACCGGTTTGCATCATCGGTCAAGCAACCTCGAAGTGGAGAAAACCGGATTGGTAGAGGGATGATCGACCAAAAAGAAGGAGATCGAGCAGAATAGCAGTACTGGTCGAGGATCGACCAAGAAGAAGATCGAGCAGAATAGCAGGACTGGTCGAGGATCGACCAGAAGGGAGGAGATCGAGCAGAATAGCAGAACTGATCGAGGATCGACCAAAGGGGAGGAGATCGAGCACTCAACAGGTGAAGAGCAGTCTAGAGCGTGGCGTGAACGCGAGAAGGCGCGTGGATGACGTTGGAAGATCCCAACGGCCTGCGCAAAGGAATAATCTCCCTCAGCTTAGAGGGACACGTGGCGAGAATATATTGGTGCAGAGTGATAGTGGCGAAAGCCACCCCTGACATCTCTGACACACACACACTATGTGTGTACGGACGGGCAGGACAGCTCACCAAAGCCGGGCAGTTTTTAGGGCAGGTATCTCACTCCTATATATATAGGAGTGGGTCTTTTCTTGTGACTTATGATTTATCCATTCTTTACTTTGGAAAATTGAACAAACACATACTGACTTAAGCATCGGAGGCTCTTCACCGGAAAACCCCTCCGGTGTGAGAGTTCTGTGCAGGAACGCGGCGTCCTACCGACGAGGAAGAGGGAGGCAAGCTGATTTCAAGCCGGTTGGAGTGTTTTGCGTTACCATTTGGCGCCGTCTGTGGGACTTTCATTCGAAAAGTGGTGTGCTGAGATTTTCGAAGCTCGGTGGCTATGGCGGACGGAATTCCTAGGAGAGATTTGCAGGCATCGTTCGACGATGCATGGACGATGACGAGGCCGTTTGGAGAAGGCCCTCCCCTGGGCTTCTCTGGACCCTCGCGTACACCGGTGACTCCGGCGCCTGTTCCCCAAGGTGTAGGAGTCACGCCGGTGCAACCAGAGGCTGACGTGGGTTCAAGCCGGGCCCAGGAGACTCGTATAGCTCAAGGAGCGGCGATAACAATGCCGCTGCAACCAAATCTGGCCGTGACGCCGCAGCAAAGAGCGGCGGTGCAGGGAGCAGTACCGCCGCCGGTGGAGGAGCCACGTCCCGGCCAGCAGGTGGTGATGACCAGGCAGGAGATGCAGCAAATGGTGGCGAATGCAGCGACACAAGCGGTTCAGCAGGTCACTCAAAGCCTTTCGCGAGTGGCTGCTGGACCAACGATGGTGGATGAGGACGTGTCTAGCTATGGAGGAGAAGGAGTCCCGCGAGATCGTGAGGTAGAGAGGCTCGCGGAGCAAGTAAAGCAGTTGCAGGCCAAGATGGATGGTCGACCTGAAAGGCGTGCTCGAGGACATCCGTTCTCGAGGGATATATTGGCTGCACCGCTACCTGCGAATTTTAGAGACATGAGTTTGATGTTCGACGGAACCACTGACCCGTCGAGGCATGTAAGGGCGTTTGAGAATTTGGCTGTGTTACATGGTTATTCTGATTCTGTTAGCTGCAGGGCATTCTTGTCGACCTTGAGGGGAGGTGCGCTCGATTGGTTTCAGCAGCTCCTTCATGGATCGATCAAGGACTTTGACGATTTCGCGAAAAAGCTGATGACCCAGTATGCGAGTGCGGTGGCGCAGGAGAAAACCTATTTGACGTTGATGGCCATGAGGCAGAGGGAGAAGGAATCGTTGCGCAAGTATGTTGCGCAATACAACCAGACTTGTTTGGAGATCCCCACTGTTAGTGTTATATACTGAAAGCTTGGCTTTGCATGATATTACACATTTACCCTTTGTGAATGAGAATCATGTTAGATTAAACAAGTTCTACGTTCTGTTGTTCTGCACTTAGATAGGGTGGGTCGTCATCGGGCGAACCGAAGATCACTCTGTCAGTTACTTGCGAACAAGAATAGTTGTTCACAACCTAGATGGACATGAACACCCCATCCGAACGGTTGTAGTGTCAACTGTACAGTTTGTCTTGACTGATTAGTTGCACTAGTACATTTATGTATTGAACAGGATCCCAGAGAGGAGAAGTTCATTTTATACTGATCGTCGTAAATGAACTAGGCCTCGGTTAATTACTGCGTTCTCTTAACCCGTAAGATATTAAACAGGCAGATATATATAATATATATTACTTTGATTCACATGGGTGAGGTTCAGTTCGCTGGATTAATATTCCTACTGTTTTGGGTAATATTATTATATATAGGATGTGCTGTTAGGATATTTACGGTCACCATGTGCGTTAGTTTGATGATGTCCCCGGAGTGAGTTCATGAAGGATTGTTATGCTAAACCCTGCAGGTGGATTAAATTCCGGCATAATAAGAATGTGATGAACGAGCGCTAGCTTCGGTGAAATAATAATAAATTAATTAATTCTTGATTGTCAGTAATCGAATTAATTAATGGACATTATATCTTAAACGTGGGGAGGTAAATCGAGTAATTATTATTGGAGTCTCAAATGTAATTTGGGCTAGGAAGAGGGAGTGCAATAATATAATGTTGGTGGCCCATTAATATTATTTAATTAATTAGAGGAGTGGGCTTGGCCCACAGTTAGTCTAATTAATTAAGGAGCCCTTTTCCTAATCTCCTTAGGGTCCCTACTGTAGCTCTATATATACATCATTAAGCTCATGAGAAGAGAACAGAATTCACATCTCACGTGAAACACGCCTCTCTCTCTAGATCTCATTCGAGCTTTATCTTCTTCTTGTTGCTCCACTGGTACAAGTTGAAGAAGGGTGTATTAAGTAATACAGTAGAAGATCTGTAGGTAAACCGAGACAAAATATATTTTGACCTACAGAACTAACCGGAAGTCCGATTGAGACGTATAGTATACCCAGACGACCGTATCGACGAGAGCTTTCCATCGTCGCCGACGTCTCCGGAATCCAACAACGCACGCGCCCTCACGCGCCGCCGGAAGGTGCCTGGCAGCAAAATCTCGTTTTGATCTGTTTGCATCTGTTTGATCCGGTTTTGATCTGATCTTGTTCGTGCAACCCAAGACGTGATTTGCGGTCAATCAATTGCGGTCAACCGTTTGTGGTCAGCCAGATCTACATAAATTTTAAGCCGTAAGTTCTCTACGTCAAACCTTTAGATCCGCTGCGCATAGGTTTACGTTTGCTATTGAATTCGTGATTTGTACATAACGAGATCCTCACAGATCCCAACACCCACAGCCTCGGACGAGGTGAAGGCTGGGGGGTTGATACGAAGTTTGCGAGCAGAGCCCTGTCGAACATCTTTAGCCAAAACCCCTGCTCGTACATATGATGATGTGCTGAAAAGGTGTAAGAAGTATATTAACCTGGAAGAGACGGAGGCGGAGTTCGCTAAGTTGGAGGAGTTCGCTAAGTTGGAGGAGTTGGCCAGGCCGGAGCTGAAGAAAGGAAGGGCGAGTTCACCTCGAAAGGCGTCGCCAGGAAGGAGATCGCCCAGGAGAGAGGGGCGTGGCAGAGTTGATCGAGGGCGAGAGGACCGATGGAAAGATCGACCAGTATTTGGAGGGAAGCGGTTCCATAACTTTACGCCCCTTAACGCGAAGATGGGGGAGGTGCTGGTGGCTATTGGAAAAAAGATCGAGAATAAGGACGTGACGTGGCCGAAGTCGAGGCGTGAGGGCCCAACGCAACCTAGGTCGGAGAAGTATTGTCGTTCTTCTCGGACTTATGGCTGTTATTTCAAGCCTCCAGTACTTACCCAGACCTACGACTCTTATACACTGAAACCCTCGCTTCTTATACTTTCTTGAAGGCATCTTGCTAGTTTAAGTAAGGTAATCTCTAGAGTTAGAACTTAAATCAAAGCTTACGTAGTTCAGACAATGAACAGTCCATTGTCCTACCTATGTACTGATAACTATCGACTTCTTCTTTCAATATTTCGAACAATGGTTCATCAAGAAATCTAGGGCGGTCTATCTCTCTCTCTCTCTCTCTCTCTCTCTCTCTCCCCATTTCAGAATGGGGACGACGACGGGCTGTGGTCGCCGGAAAACAAAGTTGGGAGAAAAACGGCGTGGCTGAGCTGAACGGCCGCGGCTCGGTCGGGGATGGACGGAGGCGACGGAGGGTCACCGGTGCTGGGACGGTGGCGGCTCGCCGGAGTTGGGAACGGGCTCGTGTACGGCAGCGTGATGGAGGGGCTGAGCTATGGTGGCGTGGCGAACTCGCCGGTGTGAAGGGTGGTCGCCGGCAGGAGGGTTGTCGCCGGGGTTCGGAGTGAAGGCGGCTCGCCGGAATATTTGCCGGATTTATAAAGGAGGTGTGGAGGTGGATTTGCTCTTGAGGTTGAAGATGGTGGTGAATGGTAGGTTATTGGTAGGATATGTGTGCTATTTATAGAACTGGGTTTCACGTGCATTTTGGACTTCTTAAAAACGGGCTTGGTTATTAATCGCTACTTGGGCTCGATAAATAAATCGATAGCTTAAATTAAAAATGGGCCGAATAATTAAAATTGCTCGACATAATATGGCTCGATTAAATAATTGGGTCGGTTGGCCGGAAATAAAATTGCTCAATTAAATGGGCTCGAGAATTAGGCCATTCGAAAATTAAATAAATTATCGACTTTTCTAATACTCGATTATAAATCGATACTTAGACTTAGAATTTTATCTCGTTTCCGAAATAATAATTCGAACGTTTTCTCCATGGCTTAGACTTAAGACTAAATAAATTATGCGATTAATAATAAATAAAATACGGCATAATTATGAACTTACTATTTCTGTAAAATGAAGTCGAGTTAATATATAAATCTGGGTCGGGGCTTACAGCTGTCTCCCGCGTTACTACAGAAAAGGTTTGTAAATATTAATTTGTCCAGGAAGGTTTTCTAGAAAACCTAACTATAAATATTGTGTATAGAGAAGTGTTTAATAACGTATGATTTTAGTAGTACTTTGCATTTATCTTATTGCAATAATGAAATGATTAATTTTCAAGAAAAAGATTTAAAACAAAAGTTTTAAAAAAAGTTTTGAGATGAAGTCCAATCGTGCTACGCATGGGATGCTCACTAGTACGATTTGAATATGCATGATAAAATTGTAATACAAACACAATAAAAATGGAATCATTTATGTCGAACTGACATAGATTTATTAGTTTAGAAAAAAAAAAAATCTAAATAACTATAATATATATTGTTACAAATAATGATGACAAACCAAAATCATCCATCGAACTATCCATGTAGTAAATTATCAACTTATAAAACAATTGTAATTTATATTGTTATAATGATANTATATATATATATATATATATATATTACAATCTTTTTCAATTAATTGTTAGTTATAATATTTGCCACCATTTTTCAATTTTAGCATAACTTATTTAGGGATTGAAATATTGTATGAGTAAGAAAAAATAGATAGAGAAGTGGTATATTAGTATTATTTATAATAATGTTTGAATATGTTAAATTTTGATTATTCTTGATTCTAAACAGGAACTCTAAAATGATAGTGATTTTATAACGGGTGAAATAAACATATAAATCATATGTCAAATTATTACATACTATAAAATAAAAGAAAAAAAAATATTAATATTCATAATTATTTTTATACTAATCAGTATCCTTCATTGTTTTAATATATGTAATTTATAATTATTGATCCGTGCATCGCAGATACTACATACTAGTTAAGAATATTGGTTGAGTTTATTCATAAACAAACACACACTAAGTTATTGTGTTACTCATTATTGAATCCATGTCCAGAAAAATGTGTCAATAAAACACATATATTACATGGGTCCTAAAAAAATATAATACCTATTTCTTTAGAAAAACAAAAATTAAAATCTATTTAATTTAAATTTAAAATGGCACTTGTCTTATAATATTTACACTTTGTAAATATAATAATTTTTCTAATTCATATTATATAATGGACTTGACAGATAAAATTATTTAATTGATAAATAATTTTATTATTTTCCAATTAATATGATAGATAATTTTTTTTATATGAAGGTAAATTATATATTTATTTACATATGCAACAAGAATATTAAGTTGAAGCTCGTGAAAGATAAGTAGTTTAAAATATCATTTGGAAAAATTATTATAACAAATACAAATTATCGAGTTTCAAAATATATTTATAATTTAACTTACTCAAGTATATTATAATTTTAAAAGTCTAATAGGCATAACCAGAATTCTAGATCAATATGGATCAATCCACAACACCAATAATTGACACATAGAATCACGGAACACCAAAAAAATCGATATATAAAATTATGAAACATAAAAAATAGACATACAGAATTATAGAATTACAAAATACTAAAAGTTGACATACAAGTTCGAAAACTCTGTAACCTAAAAGTTGATATAAATTACTCTCTCTCTTCTCCCGTAAAACCCCTTTTCCCCTCCTGCAACCTAGTTTCGGCGCCGGCAAATTGTGCCTCTCTCAGCGTCTATCCGGCTAGCCGGTGGACTGCTCTCCACCGCGCGTCCAAGCTTCTAGTTGCGGCACTACTACCTTTCATCTCTCCGGCTGTGGGGTGAGGATGGAGGTCTTAGGCGGATTTCGCAGATTTGCGCTTGAAGGCCGCCGAAGCTCCTGCGTGGCGAGGATGGGTGGAGTGCGGCACCAGAGGAAGGATGCGGCTCAAGATGCTTGTGTCGTCCTTGTCCAGGTCTTCCCTTCAAGCTTTTGCCGTCGGCCTCGTCTCAATTGCTGCGGATTTACAGGTAAAATTTCGGATCTCTGTTTGCCGGAGCTCTGGAGTGGCAGCGGGTGGGTTGGGGCTCGTTTTCGGGGGCTGAGTGGGAAGCTTGGGTTTGGGCTTTGGTCGGGGCGTCTATTCTCGCTGGGCTTGGAAGTCAGCCCTGTTGCGGATCTTCGGGTTCTGCCGGAGTCTGGTCACCGGCACCTCGGTTGTGCAGGAGTGTTGGGTCGGGGTTCGTCCTTTCGGACTGGGTGGATGGGTGGTCGTTTCGGGCTGAGCTCGTCCATTCAGGCAGGGTCGAGCGGCAAAGCGTTGACACCATTTGTCCCCTTCCTCTCCTTTCTCTATTTCTGAGTTCGCGGGAGGCCGACCATTCTCGGAGTTGGCTAGTGGTGATAGGCAGTTTCAGAACGGTATCGGATTGGCTAGTGGTGTTAGCCAGTTGGGGGCCGATTGTGGTTTCTTGCGGTCGGAGTGCGTGTTGGTTGATCGGATTGTTCTGAGGCTAGGGTCATCGTCTTGCTAGGCCTTATGCAGTGGCGGGCGTATTATCAGAGCTTCGGAGCTCTCCTTGGAATCGGCTTGGTCTGTTGGCTTTTTTGGAAGTTCTGCTGAGGGAGGCTATGTTCTTAGTTTTTGTTTCTATGTGTTTGTCTTGTTGGGATCTGTGAGGATCTCGTTATGTACAAGTCACAAATTCAATAGCAAACGTAAACCTATGCGCAACGGATCTAAAGGTTTGACGTAGAAAACTTACGGCTTAAAATTTATGTAGATCTGGTTGACCACGAAGGGTTGACCGCAATTGATTGACAGCAAATCACGTCTTGGGTTGCCCGAACAAGATCAGATCAAAACCGGATCAAACGGATGCAAACGGATCAAAATGAAACTTTGCAGCCTGGGAGCTTCCGACAGCGCGTGAGGGCGCGTGGGGGTCGGATTCTGGCGATCTTAGCGGCGATGGAAAGCTCTCGTCGAGATGGTCGTCTCGGTATGCTATATATTTCAATCGGACTTCCGGTTAGTTCTGTAGGTCAAAATATATTTCGTCTCGGTTTACCTACAGATCTTCTACTGCATTACTCAATACACCCTTCTTCAACTTGTACCAGTGGAGCAACAAGAAGAAGATAAAGCTCGAATGAGATCTAGAGAGAGAGAGAGAGAGAGAGACGTGTGTTTGTATATAAGATCTCTCTTCTCATGAGCTTAATGATGTATATATAGAGCTACAGTAAGGACCCTTAGGAGATTAGGAAAAGGGCTCCTTAATTAATTAGACTAACGGTGGGCCAAGCCCACTCCTCTAATTAATTAAATAATATTAATGGGCCACCAACATTATATTATTACACTCCCTTTTTCTAGCCCAAATTACATTTGAGACTCCAATAATAATTACTCGATTTACCTCCCCACGTTTAAGATATAATGTCCATTAATTAATTCGATTATTGACAATCAAGAATTAAGTAATTTATTATTATTTTACCGAAGCTAGCGCTGATTCATCACATTCTTATTATGCCGGAACTTAATCCACCTGCAGGGTTTAGCATAACAATCCTTCATGAACTCACTCTGGGGACATCATCAAACTAACGCACATGGTGACCGTAAATATCCTAACAGCACATCCTATATATATTAATATTACCCAAAACAGTAGGAATATTATTCCAGCGAACTGAACCTCACCCATGTGAATCAAAGTAATATATATTATATATATTTGCCTGTTTAATATCTTACGGGTTAAGAGAACACAGTAATTAACCGAGGCTTAGTTCATTTAGGACGATCAGTATAAAATGAACGTCTCCTCTCTGGGATCCTGTTCAATACATAAATGTACTAGTGCAACTAATTAGTTAAGACAAACTGTACAGTTGACACTACAACCGTTCGGATGGGGTGTTCATGTCCATCTAGGTTGTGAACAACTATTCTTGTTCGCAAGTGACTGATAGAGTAATCTTCGGTTCGCCCGATGACGACCCACCCTATCTAAGTGCAGAACAACAGAACGTAGAACTTGTTTAATCTAACATGATTCTCATTCATAAAGGGCAAATGTGTAATAACATGCAAAGCCAAGCTTTCAGTATATAACACTAACAATCTCTCACTTATACTTAAAGCTTTCGCTTTTACAGTATAGTCCTATCAATCTGTTATTCTAAAAGACCTATGTCGATCCTATTGCCATGCATCCTCTGATGCAATCTTGGCAACATCAACGTCTCTTCTACTAACGATATCCCGAATCAGATGGTATTTGCGCTCTATGTGTTTGCTTCCCCTGTGGGCTCGAGGTTCTTTTTAGTTTGCTATTGCTCTACTGTTATCACAGTAAACGGTGATACCCCGTGGCAAACTCGGTATAACCTCTAAGTCCACCAAGAAGTTCCTGAGCCAAACTGCCTCTTTCGCTGCCTCTGAGGCTGCTATGTACTCGGCTTCCATGGTGGAGTCTGCCACGCATTTCTGCTTAGCACTCCTCCATGAAATGGCTCCACT